CGTGCCGCTGCTCACACGCTCAAGTATGGTTGGTTGCTATTTCCAGAACAGCAAAAGCGGCCAAATGAATTAAAATAAATACAAGATGGAAACTCAATATAATAAAACCACCTTAAGATACTTAGAAACTGACTTTAACTTCTCTTACTTTTCTAGAGTTGACAGAACCTGTCTTCAAATTCTTTTTTTTTTTTTTTTTTTTTTGGTTTTTCTCTGGTACCGGGAACCGAACTCACGACCTTGCGCTTGCCAGGCAGGCGCTTTTGCCGCTGAGCTAAATCCCCAGCCCCATCAAATTCTTAACAGATTCATGAAACACATAAATAAAACATAAACGGTACGATGAAGCTCTGATTTTATTTATACTTAGGCTTATATCACTGCAACAGTACATTTTTAGGATAATTAAGCAATATTTTTAACCTCCTAAAGTGCCTTCAAATCTGAAACTAGAAGCTTTGAAAAATGCTTAGCAAATTAGTAACATAGACAGTTATATGTCAACTGTCAATTAAAAACAGAAATATACGGAAAATACTTTAAAACTATTTAACCCATCAAATTGTCTTTGCAGTTTGGGTCTATTAAAACTAACCAACGATTAGTAAGTATTTTAGATTGCCAAGGCGTGAAGAGCCCCAGGGAGACGGCTGGCACCTTTGGTTAAAATACACTCTCCACAGGCTTTACACGGGGCTCCCTTTCCCTACCAGGAAGTATCAGGTGAGGTCCGACTCCTAACTAAGGCCCGGTCTCAGGTAAAGGACTTTTAAATTTAATTATAATAATGTAAATGATAACTAATGACACTATATGCACTTTCATCAGACAACTACAATAGTCAATAAATAAAGCTCTGCCAGGCAGGAGATGAAAACAGGTGAGGAGCTGTGTCTCCTTCTCACCTTGCTGACTAACGGAGTCAGAACGGAGATGGACTGATCCCTCTCATCCCCCGACAGCAGCTGTAACAGAACACGCTGTACGTCCCTCCAACTTAATTACCCACCAGGCAACTGTCATTCAGAAAAACCCACAAAGAGAAACAAAGGATAGAACAGTACACAGCTGAAACTGACTCACTCATCAGAAAGGTCAGGGTGAGTATCAGCAGTGCCCAGACTGTGCGCCTCGTGCTAGAAATGAGTAGTGGGAACATTAACAGCATTCCTTTACATCAGGAACACACTGTAGCAACCCCAAATCTCATGCAAGTCTGCTCTACATGCAGGCTTGAATTATACCTAGAAATATGAAGATGGTGAAATGCTGGATTTTACAAATCACAGAGGTGATTTTTTTTTCTGCTGCCAGTTGGAGGGAAAAAAATGCACAGGGCTTCTTGCTAATAGTGGTAACAAGGTCAGTCATCAGACGTTGACATTTTCCCATTAGAAAAACTGAGTATACCAGAATTGAATCTGCTAGGAAGGCAGTGGTTGTTGTTTAGCAGAAATACTACATTAGCTATGTATGCTCGGTGCAAGGCACTGTATTAGTGAGGCAGGTATGCTCTTGTTGGCGCTGTCTACAGCATGGCTACTTGCTGTTAAGCCACGATCTTAATTAACTTATAGCTTCACTTGGTTAACTCTTCAGTTAAGATTTATCATGGTTGTGGCAGAACAGAGAATTTAAAAATAATTTTTTTCCTGAACAGATTTTAGGACAGAGTTCCTGAGGGAGTGTATGAATAAATTATTCAGGTTCTCTGCATATTTTCAGCTTGTATAAATACTGAAATCCAATTTGTCTTATTGGTATTTTGGCTTCAAATACATACATTAACCTTCCTAATTCAAAATAGTGCTTGCTTTAAATTCGCCCCAGTGAGTGCTTCATATCTTTCTTTGGCACAGAGTAGCTCCCGTTTGTGGATTACATGTGTGTATATCATTTGACACAGGGAATTTATATTCTGCTTCACCACTTTGGCTGCATCTTCCCTCAGGGGAGCGGTGTGTCTGTTATCTTTTAGAGTAAAGGGAGGAGAAGGACAGAATCTCCCCAGGACCTGCACAGAACTGTCATCGCAGCAGGGACTCAAATAAAGCTTATTCCTGACATGGAAAAAGTAAAGAGACTGATTTTATTTAGGCATTAACCTAAATACTAGAGGAATGTGAACAGCTCCTACTAGCAAGTTCCCATTTTTGTTACCTGGAGACGTTGGCAAAGAGTGGTATCCAAACCCTCTTCCTTGTCCAGCTGAGAGGGGAGAGCAGATGAGCTCTCAGCAGACGGCAGTGTGCTGGTGCCTCCCCACCAGGTCCCCCGCCTCAAAGCCAGCCCGCAGCAAGTGTGCCTCCTGCCTAAACCAAGTTCTCAAGCTCTCCTTCCTGCCTGACATCCTTCGGCAATGTCCTCTTACTCTGAGACGGTAATGAAGAAAATATGATTTTGTCAGGCATTTTCCCCCCTTTTCCTTTAAAACTTTTGCTAGTGACAGCAAATGAGAAAAGTGGCGTCATGCCAGTTGTCCCCTATTCTGTGGGCCTCGGCGGGAAAACGCAAAGGTTCAAAGGAGACAGTGCACATACGCACTGGGACTCCGCGGCCCACCCTAAACCACACCGTAACACTGGAGACAAGTGAGAATGCTATCCCTCGCCTGGGAGAAGCTGTGGCGTGATGACCAGCTCCACAGTAAGAGAGGAGGAATTCGGTGGACAGGTGCTCCTGTTAACGATGCTGGTGCTCACTGCGCGCTCTGGGGCAAGTTGCTGCTGTACGGCAAATGGCGAGCAAGGTGGACAAAAGTACACAGTAAAAATTCACTCAAGTTGCCAAGAAAAAAAATGTTTTTCTCTGCTGCCAAATAATTACCTAATTTCCTTTAGGTTTGGAAACATCAGAGAATACATAAATCAAAGTGGCCAATATTTTTCACCATATATAATTTTCCTGTAATCTTTGAAAGGAAACATAAAGTCCTAGTATATAATATTACACAAAATAAGGTCTTATAAAAATCTGAATGCCCCAGTTAATGAATTCTTGACAGGCATAGATAGGAGAAATAATAGAGGATTCAGAACTTAGTAAGTATCCCTTTATGTACTAAAAAATATCTACTATTTACTGAAAGATATTCCACAGTCCCCTGAAGGTAGATTTCACTAAAGAAAAACCCACTTGGTTGTTAGAAATAAACACTAGTGAAGTTAAACATATTTCAAATAATTCCATTTCTTATTTAGAGAGGTCAGATAGCAGCACTTCACATAATGGACTCTGCGGGAAGCGGTCTACACAGACTTCTTCTCATTTCTTTCTCTCTCGGAAGCAACAGGAAGCTGCTGCACAGAATCATGAAGCGGGCTGGAGCCTCCCCGTCCCCAGGACCAGAACCTGGGGTTCTGAGGCCTGGGAGGGCTCCCTGCACAGGACTGTTGGCTTTGGAAACTGGGACTGAATCAGTGTGCCCAGGAGCAGGCGTCTACTGAGAGGTAGCCCAGGCTCCGGGAGAGTCTCCATCTGTGAACTCTAACGGGTCACAGAACTGATTTGCTGGCCGGCTGTGCAGCTCAAACGGGCCTGGGGAGCTCAGATGTGCACTCCGTGAGCAAGCCCTGAGCAGCTGTGGAACCGAGCAGCCGCCTCTTGGTAGCAGCCAGCGTGGCGGACTCCTGTGCCCCTGACGTTTTTCTCAGAGGGAAAAAACGAGTTACCTGTGCAGTGTTGTGAGCAGAGGAGAACCTGGGTCAGAAAACATCTATAAACGCAAAGTCTGAGGACAGGATGCGAAAGAGAAGGTCCACAGCAGCCACATGCAGAACTTCCAGGCCTCCACGCAAACATACGACTCCTGGTCAGCTCAGACCTGACTCGAGGAGCCTGGGGGCGCCTGGGGTTGCGGAGCCCTGTGCAGCACTGGACACAGCAGAGAGCACCCCGAGTGTGATGCAGCCCAACACCACCTCCCGGACAGGGTGCCTTCGGGCGTGGACAGTAACACACATGGAAACAAGCAACACTCCCCAGACCAATCTCCCAAGGAAAGAGCAAATGATTTTAGGACAGAATGTCACTGAAGCAGGTAATCAAGAAGGAATGTGCATTCATCCGACCAAACCACCCCGTGCAGCCTCATGGTACCTCCGAAACAAGAGCGCCACTCCACGCGTGTGTGCGTGTGTAAGGAATAGCAAAAGTACCAGTCCTCGCCCGCCAGTTACTCACTCTCGCTGCAACTGCAGTTCTGCATAAGCAAAATGCAAAGGCTGCACGTGGTTCGGCCTTACAGCGCTGCGGTGGGCACTGCGTGTTGCGCTGGGTACAGAACCCACCGCACAGCATGATGGCATCCTCCTAGCTGCTGTCACCTTGTCGTCACGGCAAGAGGCCCATGTGCCATTTGTAACTTATGGGGACAGCGGACGGCAGAAGGGGAGCTTAAGACAATGTGTTTATTAATGTGATGCTTAAGTGTCCCTGGGAGAACAACGGAGTCTGATCAGCTCAGGGATTTTTTTGGCGCACACTCTCGGGGATGAGGCACACCAGGTTTCTCCTCCCTCGGGGACATGAAGGCAGGACTGACCAGGTCAGTGGGTCAGCTCCTCTTCCTCCTGACTGCTGTGGGCTGCAGCAGCCTCAGGTTCCCGGACTTAGGGCTCTTATTGTTGTGTCTCTCAAATTCCCCCGATAGCTTAAGCTGGAGCAACACCGCACTCAGACTCGCTTCCTTGGGAGTGCATGCTCTGACGCAGAGAGCCAGTCTCACCGGTTCAGGGTCGCCCCAAAACAGGGAGACCCTGGGATCGCACCTGGTTTGTATGATTCCCTCAGGGCCCCACTGTAATATGACCCAGACTCATCAAACTATGGAGCCTCACAAAGCTAATCACTTCCACCTAAGGACAGATTCTAAGACTTCTGGGGCAGAGGCAGTAGTCACCAGCGTCACTCAGGTAATTACCCACATACCACATACTCGTGAGTCCACAATCTCAAGTTATTTCACCTTAAAATATGTTGTTGAAAATGAAGAGTTTTACCTTTTCATATTCAGCAATGCCCAAGGTATTCCAGAAGGAGTATGAAATGCAGGTAGCAATTTTACCCCAAGTTCCACTGCTTTCTTTCGAAATATCTGAAAAGTCAAACAGTTACATAAGCTACGGTTGCAAGCAAAACAAGTGTTTTTACTGTTAGCTCACAATTACCACTCTTCCACTTTCACACTGCTTTATCTAAAATAAAGGTTTCTTAAATGAACACGATCCCCTAGTAAGGCAACCGGATGTTGGGTCCCTCGGTCTCATTTGCGCATTAGCATTATGTGGGGAGGGCACCATGAGATATGCGCCCTGTTTAGCTGCTATGGTTTGGGGCCCTGGATGTTCCCTGCCTTCAGCATGGTGCTCGCAAGGACCCAGGGACAGCATTGGTTTCAGAAAGACATCACAAGTGACTGATAAGTCCTCTCAGCCCTGAAAGCTTTAACTTCCTCTGAGATTAAGTGTAGGAGATATGGAAAAAAATTTATGAAGGCACAGATTCTGCCCCAGAGTGTGACAGGGAAGCTAACATATGCACATAAATACCCAGATCACAGATACAATGGGAGCTGGAGATGAAACCGTGCAGGTGCTTGGATGAGCTCCGCCAGGGTGGAGCTGCGTGGGGAGCAGGAGGGCCCACTGCCCTGAATGCGGCCAGTGACACCGAGGCTGGGACAGGAGGGTGGGGGCAGGCACAGACGGGGGCGAGGGCGGCCAGCAGGGTCACCAGGGGAGTGCTGGTGAGTGGGGGTGAGCGGCAGGCAAAACACAGTCATGTTACATGACCACGACAAGTCGGGGACAGTTGTAAATGCAAGGGCAAGAATTTTATTTCTTCATCCTCCACCCCGAGAATTCTGCTGCGTTGGACACCGCACCTCCCCAGATGAAGGAGAAAGGAGGCGGCCTGAGGTGCAAGGAGAGTGGACGACAGCCTGGCCTTGGCTAGTGGGCAGCATTCACTGCAGCAGCTGTCATGGTGAAGGGTTTGGGGCACCTGAGCTCCCCATGGAGAAACCCCAGAACTCGGGCTCTCGCCAGCCATTACCCAAGAACTCTATTCTAAGGCCACCACCCACCCTCCTCCTTAGAAACCTAACTTGCATTTGGTAATGAAAGTTAAGAAAGAAATGAATTTCAGTATGCAACTTTGGCTGGCAATCAATTCAGATAAAGTAACGCTTCTGGTGGTTAAAGCGAACACACATTTGCAATACAGGGAACGTGCTAAGTGTGGGGTGCCCTCTCTACCAGTTAGTATTGTTCTTACCCAAGAAGAACAACATCTGATCATGGATGAAAGGGGAAGCAAAAGAAAAAACAGATCAAAAGGTCCATCTTCCTCCTCCTCTGCCTTACCTGAAGCATTCTAGGTTGTCTTCTGCTCTAAGGATTTATTCAATCACTACTCGGCCATCTGCTCAGTTTCTGGCCCCCACCCAACTTTTAAACTGTTAATTAACTCCTTTTTCTAGACACTTACACAAAACAGAAGTCAAACTATGTAATTAAAACACCATCTTGGATATAGCCATATGGTATAAGAGTTAGGGACTTAGGCTTTGAGGACAGAATATGCCTGAATCTCAGCTCCACTCCAAACTGGGCAATCTTGGGTGAGTGACTTAACCGGTTCCTGCTGCCATGAACCACCAGTGGTACAGGCGTGACTGTCCCACTGGGCAGCTTGTACATGCAGGACTTCCAGGCTGCCAGATGGGGCTGGCCAAGCATGTGCCACTGGTGATTCAAGGCCGAAAGGCAGCGAGACCTGAGTCACACTGTTAATCCCCCTGTGACTAAATCTCATCTGTAAGACCGAGCTAACACAGCCTTTACTACTTGAAGGTTGTGGAGACAAACAGGTAAACTGCTGCATGGAAAGTGCTCAGGACACAATCATCACCATGAAAGATCAGCTGTGGTTTTTGTGGTAAGGATAATGGTATTCCCCCCAGAACCTCTCACATTTAGTGTCTGAAATTCTTTATTTTCTTGGCTTTTATCGAACTGTTATTCTGGGGCCTTCCACCTATCCAGATTCTTATTTCTCTGTCAGTATCATTCAGCTCCCTCCTGCCCTGTGCTCATTCTCAGGCACCGAGCCCTGGGTTCCGAGCACCTCGCACTCCTAAACCCACCTTCCCATGGCAGCTCTAGTTCTCTGTTCTACTGTGAGCGCACATCATGATGTGTCTTGTTCAGCCTAAAACTCAGCACAGGAGACACGGAGTCCACGACCTGCTATCCCAGCATGGCTCCCTGCCCCATCACCTATCTGTCCGGCGGTCCCTTGAGCAGGAGGACAGGCATCCTGATGCTGGACTTGCTGCCCTGCACTCTGCTGAGATGTCTGTGCACAGCTCCTCTGAAACAGCACGGGCTGTGTACTCAGTGCCGGACGAAAGGAAGGGAAGATGAAAAAGAAGACCTTCCTTTCTAGCCTCCTGTTATTCTCCCTCTTTTCTTCCACTGACCTGTATTTCTATTACAACTTTGTTTTACCACACAGCTTGTTCAAGAAACCACATCAATGCTCACTGACGCCAGAACTGCTCCACAGCTCTTTCCACAGTCCCCATGAAGCAGGTCTACTTATCACCCCCTGCTCGGTCCAAGACCACTGTGGAACAGTGAGACCAAGCAGATTACACTCTTCCAAGTGCGGTCCTCCTCAGCCTCTCTTCTTGCACAGTGATCTCACCCTAAACACCCTCTGCCGCCTTCTTCCGGTCAGTCCAAATTCCTTCATCCTTCAAGGCCAAGGTCACCCTCAACTCCTGGCCAAGTTTTTCACCTTCCATCATCCCCCACTGACAGCTGGGGTCACTCAGTGCAGGCTCCAAAAGGCAAGCTGAGATCTCTAAATTGTGTTACTCTTTTGTGTCCTCTGATAATTCTTTAAGAGTAGAGACAAAGCCTTATTTCTTTGGTTGCTTATCATATATCACGTGGATCAAGCCACTCTGTACGTAAGTGTATCGCCAGCACCATGGCATTCCTACAGGTGTGCAAGGAGACATTTACATTGTCAGCCAACAGTCTGGACCCGTGGCCATCCCATCGCGCGTCTCCTGGCTGTGATGCTCTTCAAATGGCTGGGCCTGGCTCACGCCTCTCTGCAGAAATCCATTTAAATAACCCTTGCAAAAAGAGATCTTTTCCTAAGGATCCCACACAGAGTTAGCCATCCTCATTTCCTTTCCACCTTGTTGATTTCTGCCCAATTACTGCATTTTAATCATCTTGTTTGGTTGTGAAAACCCCACCAGCTAATGGCAGGATGAAGGCATGGCCACTTCCTTTTTCACTGCTGTATACACAACTCTTATCCAACAGAGCAGTCACTGGTACTCAGTAAGTGCTCATTTAATAAATGAGTGAAACAATCACAGATTAATTAACACATCTCGGGCAACACAAGAAGCCTTTGATGTTACATTGTTTGCAAAATGCTCTGTGCTAGTCTACTATAGTTACTGCAAATAATCATCTCAAGCATTCTAAAGTCTGAACCTTGGGAATAATTAGGAGACAATTATAAAGTAGTTTTGGATAAAAACATTAATTATCCTACTGATGCTTTATTTTTATTTTTTTTTTTGTTTTTGTTTTTGTTTGTTTTTTCCAGTACCGGGAATTGAACTCATGACCTCACACTTGCCAGGCAGGCACTGTGCCACCGAGCTAAATCCCCAGCCCCTCTACTGATGCTTTAAATAAAAATCACACATAAGCGATCAGGTTCAATTATCAGTATCTAATTTGTTGTCTCTTAAAAGTTTGAAGAGGAATGCAGATTCTAAAAGAGAATACCTTATGTACATGTTATAAAACTAACTTGTAAGATTAAAACTCTGAAAAGATTGAAGGAGCAGTGTCACAAATCACTCTAAAGGGAGATTCAGTTTGAGCTAGCATATTCTGGAAAATGAGTCAGAAGGCAAATTATTACAGGAAGCCCAAAAAATGTCCTTGGTGTGTCCCCAGTGTCAGCCGGTGGAGATCATGGGAGTGCTGGGGTGCAGATGTGGATCCACCCTGAGCTCCTCTCCCTCCGTACCAGGCCTTCTGGAAGTGTCACTTGGCTGGTTCTTGGTCTTGGTCTCCCGTAAAATGAAAGCATGGCTGACAGTTTTGACTTTTGGTTTATTACTGGAAAAAAACAGTGCTGAGGGGCCACAAAACTAGGACTAAAGTGCACCTGACAAGGGAAGCAAAATGAGTAATTTTTAAAAGATAGGAAGTATTAATTTGCCACCCAATTTTTAGTTGATATTGGCTCCAAGATTTGCTGGTACCTATATTTATGGTGGGGAAGATGTTACACTAAGAGGGTGTTATGGTTTGTATCTGGGTGTCCCCCCAAAGCCTCACACAGTCATGTGGCGGGCTTCTGCAATTTACCATTGAGTCAAGGGCCAATGTTGGGATTATGGGAGCAAGTGCTACACCTGCCCTGGGGTGAGTAATTTGATACACTGTAAGAGAGGGAAAGAGGCTGCCTGCTGCCACTCCCTGCCTTTTTTGCTCTTGCTGCTTTTGCTGTTTTGTGCCACTCTGAAGTGTTGCCCTTGTGCCATGCTACCCTGCCTTGGAGCCAGCTGATTATACTGAAACCTCCACAAACTATAAGCTAAATAAACCTTTCTTTCTTTAATTTTGGGTGTTGGGTATTTAGTTTCAGGAATGAGAGAAAAGTAACCAAGACAGAGGGCATGACGAAAAATGACAGTTCACAAAATGTAATCTCTGTTTATACAAAAGACATTTTCTTTTGTTTCTTTAAAAAAATACCATTAAAAGAAGATAGGGTTCTATATAACTAGCAATCAGTTTCAGATGGGAAGATATCTTATGATCCAAGAAGAATATTCAAAAATATTTTGCATTACAGAGATTCTGATTATATTCATTTCAAAAGTCAAAACTAATATAGTTTGTTGAAAGGGTGGTAAAATGAGATGAAATAGCTTCTAAGATAATCTTTCAAGCATGTAACTAACAAACAGCTTTAAATAAGAACTTTCATGCCCTAAAGTTAAGAATTTCAAAATAATCACATCAAAATTTTTTTCATTACTTACAT